TATGCACGAACCTCTTCAATCCGCAGAGTGTTGCCGTTCGATCTGAACCTACCTCCTCCACTGCCGCCGCACGACGTCGATTTATCCGGTGATGATCTTCAAGCCACTGCTCTGTGTTTCTGATAATGTTCTGCTTCTAATCACAAATATCAAACGGGTTATTTTTCTCCCACGCCTCTTCCATTATCTATCTTATTTTCTCGACTGAGCAGAATTAAATGGAAACTTTGTCTCAACCTGCTTGTTGAATGAGAAAATTTGCTTCTCCACTCCTTAATTTCTTAGTTTATGGTGGTAGAGTAGCATCTGAATTTTGCCAACACGGAGCTCTGAATCTTACTTTGTGTTTCTGTGTTGTTAAAGAAAAAAGGGGAAGGGTTTTCCATTTTGATCTGATTCTCTGCTTAACCATATGAAATAACTGTTCATTGCATTAGAAAAACAACTCATAATCTCTCATCTCTTCAATCAAATCCTATTACGAAAATCCATTCTTCACTTCACCATATTCAATTAACTCATAGGGCTTTGAATTAATGAGTGATTTCAAATTCCTCTCTACTTTGGGAGTCTACAAAATTAAAGTTCTTCTTCCAAACTTCCCTTGGATTCTCTTGTTCTACACGACTTTTCTCTATAGATCTCTCTGTAACCCGTTTTCCTCCATGGGATTATTGCTTCCAAGGTACATAATTATGGTAGTCGTAGTCAACTTTTATCACTTTGGCGCATGTTAGAGGCATTAATTAATCATCATTTCATGTTCAAACTTTACCAGAAATCAAATGCCCTATTAAGCATGGCCACCATTTCGATTGGACTGGATACAGATGATCATAATTTTTTAGATTTCTTCAAATGTCTGTACGAATTTAGAAGGAAGCAGATCAAGTGGATTTTTCAGCCCAATTCAAATTGTTCTTCATATGGGGTTGCTCTAAAGCCGCCCAAAAAAGGAGGAGAATATATTACTTTTACCTTTCATGTTTTTGTTTACCTTTTGAATTTGGGTCTTCCAAGTTGGATGTTTTTTGAGCATTAAGATTAGTTTTCAATCTTAAAATTCCTTAATTATTCATTTTTCTTGATCAGTTTTGGAAACATGTTGGCTTCGAGTGTTCAAAATTTCTAATTGGGTTGTTGTAAGATGATTATGTTTAGCATTTTGTTTTGGCTCTAAAACCAAATTTGGTAAAATATTTTCAAAATAATTATTATTGATCGATTGAAGAAGTTGTGGTAAAAAAGTATGATCCTCAGTTTTGAAATTCAAATTCAAATTAAATCATATTGCCCTTTTTTATTATTTTTTTTTCAGTTTAATAATTTTCCTTTGATAAAGGAAGTACCTATGGAAAGAAGTTATTGTCTGGATATTATTCTTCCCTTGGTACAAAAATATGATCTAATTTTACGTTGTAATTATTTTATAAAATCTTGGTATTTTACTCTTATATAGCTTGATTAGAAATATTCATTAAAATAATTAAATTAGATTAGGTCGACTAACCGTTTAATTGAAGATAGACCAATTTGAAGATATTCATTTTCGAACTTGATTACTTAGAGGTGATAGGTGATTAATTGTTGTAACAATCAAGTAATCAATGGTTATATTTATTGCATTTAAAGGGAAGGTTTATTTTACATTTTTGCATTAATTAATTATTAATAATATTATCTTGAAGTTAAGTTTATCTATAGCAAATGATCATGTACAAAAGCGAATAACGTATGTATCACTCTTATGTATGATCGTTTGAAACCATTAAACCACGTTGAGAACGAGTATGAATAATATATTTTTTTCCTTATCTTTTTCTCTCTGTTTTGTTTTGCGTTCGTTGACTTAAATATGAGTACAAGTCACTTCAAATTTAATATATTTTAAATATAATCACAAATTGAAATTTCTCCCCGACCTAAAAATTATTGGTTTTGCCTTTCACCTTTAGTTGTCTTGTGTTATAAAACAAAACCAATATTTTACAAAAAAAAAAAAGAAAAAGAAAAAGAAAAAACATTGTCAATTTATTTTTTGCTTTCAACTTTGTTGTTCTTTTTTAATATTCAAAATATTAATAGATGAACAAATAAGTCCTCACATCCATATCATAAATATCAAGGCTTGGAATTTATTACTAATCAAAATTCTTGAGCCCAATGGGTGAAGGATTGATAAACAAATCCAATCAAGCTCTTGGGCTAGCTTTTAGCTAAACAGCTTATATATATATATATAAAATATTAACTTATTATAATATATATAGTACAAACTTATACTATTTGATAAGTTACTATTCTAGAGAGGTGATTTTTGGTAAATATTGGTAGCTTTCGAAATTTATTAGAACAATATAAGTCTTTTGAAACTTATTCAATGATAGAATTATTATGTTAGAAAGATATAAAAATCATATCTTTAAAATACACATTTGATCAAAGTCTTAGTTAATTATGATCAAATATGTCTCTTAAAATGACTTCTTTTATTTACCTTTCTACAACCATCATTTGAATAAGTTTCAAATCATCTTTTATTTTTCTAATAAGTTTCCAAAACCTCCGAAACTTTATCCAAAAAGAGGTCGATGCTTAAGACTTTGATAAATGGATGAATCAAAGAAACGACGCGAGTGCATTCTTGACCACATAACTAGAGACGATTTGGTTCGTCTTTTGAGTCGGATGAAATGAGTCCCAAAAGATGTACTTGTTTGCGTCAGAGCAAGTGAACAAGCTATCCCGATTGCAGGCATAACCCATCTCAAACATCCCTGTTGCGCAACACGCCGTGGACGTCACCTCAAACCCTGTCACAAGCCCAAAAAACCCCATTTTCCAATTTCAAATTCTTTCTTGTCAAGAACAATGATATAAGATTATCAACTTTAAGTTTATTACCGTAGACTGAAGGCTTTCTGATCATGTGCATAAGAATGTAATACGGATTCGAAAACACCAACTTGATCCCAGGAAGCTCCCCGTTGAGTTTCTCCGTCAAGGCCTTAAGTTTGTTATTGAATTCAACAGCCAAAATGTTGTAGCTCTCCACACAGTTATCGCCTCTAAAAACATTTGTTGCTCTTTCCAACGGCAAGCACCCCATAGGCGGCAACCCGCCGAGGGAGATTTTCCGAGCGCCGAGGCTGTGGAGCTTCTCGATAAACCCGCCCGCAATCCCGGTGAGAAAGTCCTCGTATTGTTGGAGGTTGTACTGTGAGGAACGACCTGGCATTGTGTAGTAATTCTCCAAAAAGTCGTTGGTTCCTAAACTCATCACATATAGAGCTTCTGTTATAGTCTCGTTTGCTTTAGTCGGGCCTTGATATTCCCTGAGCTTCGTTTGATACTCTTTGTAATTTTCAAGTTGTTTCCATAATGGTATCACAGACTGCAACATTACATAATGTTTCCATCTCATATTAGACTTCTATATTAAGAGTGCTTGTGTTAGAGAAAATTTATAACACTCTCATAATACGTATTTCCTTTGTTCTATAAATTTTCTACCATAAATAATTTTTTCATATTGTTGAACTCTTAGATAATAAATAATAAATGAGAGTGGATATACATATTACAGTATAAATTTTTTCTAAAGTAAAATATTAGGAGACAAAACTAATAGTAAGATGAGAATGATTATTTTTTTTTCAAAAAAGTATAAACTGTGTTGTAACGCGACCAAAGTTAAAATGAAAAAAAATCACCGATATAAATGTTAGAGAGACATCTCTATTGAATCAGACTTTCTGGTTGAAACCAAAAGTAAAGCTATTAGGGAGAAGTTCCGTTGTCCTCGACCAAATTAAAAGTTACTAAGTCAGCTAATGTAAAAATATACCGAAAAAATTATGAACAAACATCGTTTTTTAAAACATAAAACTAAAAGCGAAAGGGAGGGGAAACCATTATTTTGAAAGCTGAGTGGTCAAAGTGGACCAAATTAAGGATCTGAAACAGAGACATAAAATAAAGTTTACCAGAACATCTGAAGTGGCATTATCATAGCCAGTTCCAGCAGAAGCAAAAGTGACCCCTGTCGCCAAATCTGAGATGTTATAAGAAGGGTCCAAATAAGCAGGCACAATTGGCTTCAGCCCAAATGCCTCAGAAATGAAGTCTGTAGGAATTCTCCCATTGGAGAATCTCCCCGTCGCCTTCCCGCCGGTGAAGTCGCGCCCGTACGGCTGGAAGTTGCTTCGGGCTATCGTCGGGATGAAGTTGTTGTTCCCAGCATCCACTGACGAGTCCCCGAAGACGATGATCGCCGAAACCTTCGCCTCCGCTCCCACCACCACCTCCGGTGCCAAGAGAAGGTGAGTTGTAAGAATGCATAGGAAGAACATGTATGCCATAACTTAACTTAACTTTGGTTATGTGATTTTGTGAGTCAAAAAACAGAGGATTTAAGCAGAGGAGGGGAGGCAGTGGCAATGCAATAAATAAATGTGGTTGGGGAAAAATAAATGAGAGTTTGAAGTGAAGCTAGAGAAGTTGTTGGGGGAGTTTTAATTGCTTCTAACAAACATTTAATGGGATCATACACATTCAAGGACTTTATATTTGTATTCTTGATTGACTTCGTAAATTTTCTCTAATTTCATTTAAGCCAAATTTTTAATTTTGTAGATTTAGACTCTATACGGGAATAAATGGTACAATTTGAACTCTACGTTTGAATAAGTAGTGAAATTGATACTTTAAATTAGACAAGTTTTACTGACATCAACATAGCTCAAACTATAACACTACATTTTTTTTTTTATGGAATTTTTGGCGACGCAACATTTAGCGACGATTCCTTCTATCGTCACCAAAAGTTCGTAGAAAAGCGAGATTTTGACCATTAAAATTTTCGACAAAAATGAAACGATGCATTTTAGAAACTATGTCGATGAGATACGTACGTCGAGAAAAGTTGCCCTAATTTCACAACCCCTCGATTCTTCCTCCTCATTTTCTTTCTTTCTTCAATTTTTCCGTAGGCACTTCTTCTCTCTTCCTTTCGATTTTTCCGCTAGCTCCAACGTCGCCATCGCCACCGTTGTCATCGTTAGTAGCTCTATTTGAACTAAAAAAAAAGAAGTATTCATTTGTTTGAAGATGGTTTGAATGAGACTACTTTTGAACGTATTGATTCTTCCAATTACACCGGACGACCTTTTGTGTTGTTAAATTTGAACTTTCATTTTGTAGCAAGTGTCAAACTATTTCTATAGTTGAGTTTGACATGACATGATTTTAGTTAATTTCTTAAATTCAACCTTGTATGATTTATTGGTTAGTTATCCAAAAATTATAATTTAATTTTGAAAAAAATATTAATTACAGCACTTAATTCCCACGGAATTAAAATGTGAATCATTATTTGAGTAGGTGGATATGATTTTTCAATTTTTTATTTATTTATTTTTTTTAGCCCAAAGAGTTGAGGAAAAGGCATTATGTAGGTGGGTTTCTAGAAAACCAAAAGCCCTAATAAAGGCTTGATTTTATGAAGGTTGGCAAAACTAAAACTAAAAACAGAGCATCACTTTCATTTGCCTTCCCACCCACCTAATTCGACACGTCGTAATGAAACATAAGAAGAAATCTGGGGAGTTAATTTTATGTGGTTGGAACCGCCCAAGACAACGACAATATTATGGATGTCGGACATCAACAGAAAAGGAGGTGGAGATCATATCGCCCTCCGTGATTGCTTTCCTTTATTACCCCCATCACTATCCTTTTACACTACTAACAAAAATATCCTCCCAGCACTTCGGTAAACTTCTGAGTTTCACCGGAAAAGTCTCGTATTAATGAAAAAATATTATCCCTTCGATAATAAAAACGTTCTTGAACTGTAACAGATAAATTTTAATTGGTTCGAGTTTAAAAAACTATTTAAGTCATAGAGTGACATTTTATTTTATTAGGGATTTGATGGGTTTATGATTGGACATGATTTATGAACAATGTGTTGTTATAATCATTTAAATCACATGCAAATATTATTATTGGAAGTACGTTATTTGCAATGACATGAATAATTATTTAAAAATTATTGAGTAATATAATGAAATTTGCTAAATGGGCTTTGATACTATAGCATGGCAATAGGGTGTGGCCCAAACTTTTAAGGGTAGGGTGCCTCTGCAGAGGGTTCACTTTCCCTCACAAGGGCAGCTTTTATTGTTGACCTAAAATTTGCGGCCATTTAATTTAATGAACCCACTTTTAGCTCCCTCATATTCTTTCACAGCTCATTTCTTTGTTAAAATTAATCATCCCAAATATTACTTCCAAATTGGTACCATCGGCCCACATTAGTTTAACTCAGCAATAATTAACATCTAACAGTGATTTTAGTCGGAATGATTATATCGTTGCAACTACTTTATAATTTAAAAGTCAATTTGGTCTCTTATTAAAAGATGATGAGTTCGAATCTTCATTTTCACATGTTGTACCAAAAAAAGTTTGAAAGACATATTTCTATCGTTCAATCACATATCTAACTAATAAATAATTATAGAAATGATCGTCATCTGTACCTACATATTTGTCATGGCAGTGAAAGAATTTTAACTCGAAAGACATCTTCACACTTACACGGTGAAGACACTAGTGCAAGACTAGAACATATCCTAGGTAACATGGAACATTTACTTTGAACTCAATTTCTTTCTTGTTGATCGATATTATTCCCCGTTACACACATCTAACAACAACACCCACAAGGACCGCCATAACAAATTAGACTTTTAAACGATACTAGCAATTTTAAATAAAGATGACATATAATACAAAAGCAATAGTATTTAAATTAAGTGGAATGTTTCCATGTATATAAGACAGAAATATTCTTAAAAATAAACAAGGTCTTAAATATCGAGATCTCAATTTTATGAAAATATTGATGGAAATATGGATAAATTTGTTGTTGATGGATATATTTTTTAAAAAATTATAAAAATTAAAAATATTGTAAAAAATATATAAATAAACAAATAAATATTTCACCCTTCTAAATAAGTTTAAAATGATTAATATTAATATTCTATTTATATTAGTGATATTTTATTGATATTTTTCATATTTTATCAATTTTTTGTAATATTATAGAAATGTCAATTTACCTCGTCGTATTAATGTCGAAGCTATAGATAGATGGAAATGTTGATGAAAATATCAACACGCCAACGGATATTTAATAACACAATTACACGGATATAAATACTCTTTTCAAGCTCACATATATCTAACATTAATTTATATCTTAACAATAACTTCCAATGATTTCTCAAATGGTGAAACAAACAACAAAAGAATAAGATAAATTATTAATGACAAAATACAGGCAAAAAAGCAAAAGAGGTGGGAGAATCAAAGATTCAAAATAAATACAGTGCGTAATTTTTTCTAGAATACGACATAGTGGAGATTCGAACGTTCATCGAAACATAGGGAGAAGAATTCTAAGCAAATCATTGACAATAATTTGGTTGGTCTTCTGAGTGGGATGAAAGGCATCCCAAAACACATATTTGTTTGCATCCATGCAAGTAAATGGGTTTTCTTGGTTGCACAGATAGCTCATCTCAAATGTCCCAGTTGCACAGCATGCCTTTCCAGCCACTTCAAATCCTGCCCATTTATCGTGTCCGATATTAGTTAAATATATGTTTTAGTCCTTTATATTTTAATATTAATCCCTCGAGAGATGAAATATTGAAATTTCTACCCCAAACATTTTATCTTTTAGTGCCCCAAATTTCTGGTTCAAAATTTTGCCAATTCACCTGAGTATTATGTTACCCAAAAAATTCCTGGGTCAATTTTAATATTCACCTGGTAAGAAACAAAATCAAAACCTTTTTGAGAAACAATCCAGAACTTTTTAGAACTTTTACTCTAAAAAGAGTAAAAAATGTAGAGAGAGAAAGATGGGGAGGGTTGGCAGTGTCTTAAAGATGGCGTAGAGATATATTAATGATTATGACCAAACCTTCAATGAGCTAACTACGCACAGAATGCAGACAACCAAAGCCCCAGACACCTACCGTTTGGTTCTCCTACCCAACCAACTTTCACATATTTTTTGTACTATCCTCATGAGTCGCCAACATCTAAATATTTTCGACGGACCAGTCTACTTATATTTTAAATCCTTGTTAGGTACTTTATCTTTCGATCCTTAACATGCTCCTTAAGATAGTTGCCTCTTTTGGATCCACCAATCTTGTCCCAGATCTCATTTTTTCGAGTTTGAACTTTTGGGTTATGATATCATATTAATATTTATGAGTTCCAACTCAAAACTAATTGACAATTAGAGAAGTATCTCACTTATATTATAAACTGGTTAGGCCTCTTATTACGTGTGATCCTTAACAAAATTATTATCTAGAACTCAAAAATATAGGAAATGGGGTCTACTATGCTAAAAGTGGGTGAAACCTCATCTTTTTTTTTTTTTAAATATCCCACATTAAAAAGATCAAGGGACGTAATTTAACAATGTTCCTAAGCCTTGGTTTATTGAGAGGATATGTCACTAAACGAATATTGATAAGATATATTTAGAGTCTAACAAATTTAAACGAACATCTCTGATCTTGTTTGTAAACTACATGGTGTTACTTCTTCTCATTCTCAATTTATTTTGATATAGAACCATAAATGATTTATTTAAAAGAAATCAAGAACGGAGAAAATTTAAACGCAAAAATGAAAAAAAGAAGCACAAAGCTGAAAGATAAGATGTTTAATTTCATACCGTATAAGTAAGGCTGGCTGATGATCTGATAAAAAATGGGAAAAGGATTTGCAAAGAGCATTGTAAGGCCTGGGAGCTGCATATTCAATGCCCCCACGAATCCCTCCAACTTCCTATTGAATTCCAAAGCCACAGCGTTGTATTTCTCTACGCACCCAAAATTTCCCATGACATTGGTTGCTCTCTCCAGCGGCAAACACCCCATCGGAGGAAGCCCGGTAAACGATATTTTTCTCGCGCCGAGCCCGTAAAGTTCTCCGATGAACTTCCCGGCCAGTTCGAGCAGGAAATCCTCGTACTGTTGGATCGTAAATTGGAGTCTCCGCCGAGGAATTGTGTAGTAATTTTCCAAGAAGTCGTTTGTTCCTAAACTTACCAAATATAGAGCTTCTCTTATCACTTCATTTGCTTTCTCATTGCCCATATAGGCTCTTAGCTTGTTTTGATAGTCCTTGAAAAACTCCACTTCCCTCCATAGAGGTATCACATTCTGCTCGGTTTCATAAATAACAGAATCCTCGTTATACATCAACATTATTGAATTCTCGATCACGTATTAAAAGATGATTGAGATGGAACCCATAAATATTGATATATGTCAAAGCCCAAAAGCTCAAACGAACGTCAATATGAGATCAAGTCAAAATGGGTGAGCTCAAAAGATGCACAATCATGAGATTTTTGAATTTTGTGTTTAATAGATTTATATACTTTAAAGGTATTTAATAAGTCAAGAAGCTAGCTATTAGACATAAAATTGAAAATTTAAAAAACTGTTAAATTAATGAGAAATTTTGATAAAAGATTGATATTAAGAGTTCAAAGATCTATTAAACGTTCGATCTATTAAATATACTCTTAAAATTTAACTTAACAAAGATATTAATTTAAATATTATATCTAATAGGCATCTAATAGTTCACACTATCTCTATCATTTTAACACTTGCACTGTCAAATACTTGAACTCGTCCAAAACCACAAATTCTTCTTCAAGCAATAATATATTTTAAAGGAAAATATTTGACTCTTGGATTAAATATTGTCCTTATCACGGTTAGAAAATTGATATTAATTTTATAAAAAATATTTATTTTAGTATTTTTCTCTTTTAGATATCAAACAATGAAACAAAATTATTCAAAAGTTTAAGTATTTTCATATTTTAAATATCAACAAAATTTCAAGTTTATTGGCTTGAAAGTTTAGAAATTAAACAGACTTACTAAAACATCGGAAGTGGAGTTGTCGAAGCCAGTTCCGGCGGAGGCGAAGCAAACTCCGGTGGCGAAGTCGGCAATGGTATAACCGGGGTCCAAGTAAGCCGGTATGGTTGATTTTAGACCAAAAGCTTCAGAAATAAAGTCCGGCGGAACGCGGCCGTTGGAGAACCTTCCGGTGGCCTGACCACCGACGAAGTCCCGGCCATAAGGCCTGAAATTGCTTTTCAACACCGTCTTAACCACATTGTTATTGCCGGAATCCACAGAGGAGTCTCCAAACACAATAATGGCCGGAACTTTTGCTCCGGTTTTGGATGCCAATGTGAAGATTAGAATAACCAATAATGGGTTAACGAGGAAATGGAAGGAACCCATTATTTAAATTATAAAAAAAGGACAGTTCTTGGGAAAAAAAAATGATATTTAGAGAAAATGGAAGAGGATGGAGAGAGTAAAGCAAAAATTGTGAGATGAATTGGGGTTAAATTTTGATATAAATTGTGGAGAGATCGATGCGTGGTTTGGTGGGAATTCAATGAGCATTTTGATGGCGGTTGGTCCAACAAATTTACATGCAAAGGCCAATGTTATTATACACTTTGGTTCAGGGTTGGTTAGCCATGTGGTGGCTTTTTCAGTTATGACCACCGCCGCCGGCGACGGCGGCCGGAATTATGAATAAAGCAACAAAGTGGGAGGAGAAAAAAATATATGATTTTGTTGGATTGGATTTATGATGGGAGTCAATTTTTTTTAGGTGTCGACGGTCCTTCGATATTTCCAATCTTTCCATCTTTGGGCGTATAGACACTATTCCTATACTCGTACATAGGCAAGGGGTTATTGTTTGGTGGGAATTACGTTAATTTTTGTGTTTATATGATTCCATTAATTTTTGGGTTTTCCCTCCAGATTAGATTTATGTTCAAAATCTATATCTACACGAGATAAAAGTTCAAAGTTATAGTTAAATTCTCTCTCGTTAATATGCAAAATTATTAGCCGCATTATTTCGTGCCCTGTCAAATAATTTTTCCATTTTTTAGGTGGATGATCATATATTTAGTTGGAAAAATGATCCAATAATTTTTTTAACAGAACATGCGAGGATAGGGGATTGAACTTACACTCTCTTAATTGGAGATATATATCACAATTACCACTAAATTATACTCGTTTTGAAAAAAAAAAGAAAAAAAGAAAATCACAAATTAACGATATGAATAATTATTTTATAAACTTAAAAAAAAATTTACAATTGAACTGTACCCATCATAACTTGACTTGGGTGTAATTACTATAATAAAAAGTTTTAGATACGGCCAAACCCCTTCATTTAATACACATTTGGTTTTTTATGAGAAAATATTGGATAAAATTAGATTTTTGGAATAATTATTTTAAAAAGCTTCTTATGAAACAACCTACTTTTCCAACCTCGAAAAGAGTCCCAAATCTCATTTAAGAGGGGCAAAGAAATCAGTACACGTGTAATTTTTTGGTCCTCTTCTTTGGTCATGTTTGTTGGAATAGTAAATATGCCTAAAAAATCATAGACATTATTATGTGCACAACAAAGAAAGGTAATCTTAAGAAAAGGTAAGGAAAAAAAAGTTTGTGACTTCTCAATTGGGTAAGCAATCAACTTCTAGAACCTAGTGAACTACATTTATTTCTTTTAAACTTTTAAATACTATATTTTGGGTTTAGTGCATATACTATCAAATGCCAGTCCCTTAGTTTTGAAACGTTAATTTGAGTCGTTTTTGTATTTTTAAAAATGATTATTTTGATTTTTTTCATTTTCATATTTATCTAATTTATATAGATTAAAATTCGTATATGACACTTTGACTCATTCAATTTCTTGAAATATAGTAATAAATTTATATTAAAAAAGATTTATATTGTGTATCACATTTATGTTATAATTTTGTAAATAGGAAATCGAATAATCCCTTTTTAAAAGTACATAGACCAAAGTAGATGGTTTGACGAGAGTACATGCGCTAAATAAACAAAAGTTGAAACTATAGATACAAAAATAGATATTTTGAAAGTAGTCGGAAGTACAAAAATCAAATAGTATTTAAAAATTTTATTTATTTTCAAAATTGGTCTGGAAAAGAAAAAAATTGAAATATTAAACAATATTTCACTTTGCCGCCCATGATTATATTGTCCATTTTGAACTAAGTGGAAAGCAAAAAAATCAAAATAGTATTTAAACATTTTATTTATTTTCAAAATTGGTCACGAAAAGAAAAAGAGTGAAATATTAAAAAATATTGTCCACTGCCGATAGTGATATTATTTTTTTAGACTTGTTCCAAGTTCGAACCCCCTTCGTTACATAATTTCTTTTCTTCATATATCTCGATAATTGATCTATAGAACAATTACTTAGAAGTACATTTTGTGCAACAGCCCTTCCTATCCGATAGAAAAGGATCCCATGATCCTGAACCGATCTTACCTGGAATCGATCCCATAGAATTATTTCTGTTGCACTAAAATTCTCGTATTAAAAATATTTGTTTTAGTACGACACCGTATAGAATGAAAGTTGGACTTCAAACACACAGGATTCATGCCTTTAACAATTAGTTAGGCTCAAGCTAGGTTGGCCCTATTAATAAAAAATATTGTTCTTTTATTTACCTACCATCATAAATATTATTTTATTCTATTAATGGTAAAACTTGCTCGCCTCTCAAAAAAAAAAATGATGGGACAATTGTAAACTTTAATAAAGAAAAAACAAAGACAATAAATAACTTATTTAAAAATACAGAGATGAAAATGAAATTAAAATATATTAACAAAAATACAAACTAAAATGGTAAAAAAAAAGAAGAAAGTATTGTGGCTTAATTAATGGAGATTCAGTTCAGCTAGGTAGGGATCACAATCACATGTTTAGAAAATTTATTTATTGTGATAAAAAAATATAAAAAATATGTTGTAGTTGTAGTTGTAGTTGTAGTTAGGTATTTAATATTAATGTTTCGTTTGGTATTCATCATTTTGTAGAGCGTGGCCTAATAAATTGGCAACATAATTAGGTTTTTGGCATTGACTTTATAGTTGAATGGTTAATCCACATTATATGTTGTTAGTATTATTAGTATTATTGGTTGAAAATCGAAGGCTATTCAAATAGCATGTGAATAGTCATTCTAAAATAAAGGACTGTACACAATTCAAGAATAATCAAAACAATTGATCTGTAGAGAAGAAAATCAAAATATATATACATATATATATATATATATATATATTAAAATTACCTTAAATCATTAGATAGATTGAGTATGATATGCAAGAAGTTATGGTCCTAAATGACATTGAGTATTAGGGACCATAACTATATATTTATATGTTAATCATAGGTTTCTATAATTTCTTAAGATTAATGGTTTGGTTTCTATTGATTAGCAGACTCGTAATCAAAACCACTTATATACTTATTAAATGACCCAAGTATATAACTGCTATTTAATTTGTTAGGCACATCTGAATTAATTACTAAATTAATTCCAATGATATAGGATACAAAAAATTTGTCTTATGACTGTAACTAAAGGGGTTTCAAAAGGGAAGAAAATGACAATTCTATGTATGATAGAAAAAAGTGGATTATTATTTTTATCACTATGCATGTCGAAAATTAAGCATGAAATATTATTTTTTTTTAAATGACAGTGAAACAAACAAACATTTTTTAAGTACAACGAATATGAGGATTGGAGATCGAACCTCGCAGCCGCCATTTAACTCCAAAGTACAAATCATGCATTGTTATGTTGGAGGGTTATTACCAATAGAATATTTCAGTTTGAGATTTTTGAACTAATAATTCTTAGGTTTAAATATTATCTTGGGTAGGATACTTTCAACTTTAATTAATTAGGGTCTAAAATCAAAGACCAAAATGGTAAACAAGGAAACACTAAATATGGGGTAGCATTGGGGATTGGGGCTTAAGACCAGGCCTTCACTCCCCATTAATAGCAAAACAGAAAACACAGAAACCAGTTTTAAAAACTGCTTCCCAATTTGTGATTCCCCAATCTGAAATCTGAATCGAATCGGCGGGCATGGCAATTCGGAGATTCCTGTGGGCGGCGACGATTTTGGTATTGACATGCTCGGCCACCGTGGGCCGGGCGGATTCCGAGCACTTCGGGATCCACGCGGTGGGGCATGCGGTGGAGCCGTTCTGCCCCGGCGGGTACTCCGACAGAGGGGACCACTGCAACCACATAGACCACGTGGCCTTCTTCAACGACGACTTCGACGACACCTTCAAACCCGCCGCCACCGCCGTCGACAGACTGTCGATGTCGATGTCGCTGTCGCAGTCGGAGTCCACGGTGGCGGCGGAGGCCGATGCCGTCACTATGGGAATGCAGAATAATCTCACTCCCGAAGAACCCATTTCCAGCAAAGTCACAATCTTAGGCCATTGATTTAAATCTCTCTGTTTTCTGCCGATTTCTGGCCCCAAATTCAACTTTCTTTTCCTCAGCTTGTATTCTACTATCAAACATTGCTTCAACAAACCTCCCTTCATGTCTTAGTTGAGTTCACATATCCACATTATAGTTTTCAATTTTGAAATCGATTACATAGTCTCAAAAGACACAGCCGATCCTTCCCTTCCCTTGTCGGAAATATTAAGGCTCTGTTTGAAAATGTTCCTATTTCTTTTTTTAATTTGAAGGAAAATATATTGCATGTTTGCAACTTTATAAAATAATCATTTTATTTATATTTTGGAAYAAATTGAAAATGGAAATAAGAAAAGAAAAATTAGTTTGGATTGTTTCAAAAAGTTCTATATAAAATGTTCCAAAAAAGGGAACAAGAAACAAAGTTTCTTAAAAAATAAGAAAGAAAATAGTAATGTTACCGAACCTTAAATTACTAACTTTCATCTCAACTCTACGTAAATTTCTCTCTCTAATATACATTTTCAATTTTTTTAGAAACACAACACTAAAAACATAAAATACAAAGAAAAAACTACGTTATCAAATAGACCCTTAAACTCATGTTCTAGGATAATATTAAGTCTCAGCACAAAAATTTTTAAATTTGGTTTTTTTAATCTTCCTTAAAAATAGCAGCTTCTTGATAAGGACTCAAAGTCGCTTGTTGAATCAGCACCTCCTAATTGTAAGCTATATATATATATAGAAATAAGAATCTTAATTCATTAAAAACAATTTAGGATAAATTCAGTTTTTTTAATTTAAAAAAAGTGAGGTGGAATATGATGTTTTTAATTATATGATTGTTAGATTAGTTGAATTAATCTTTTATAATAAATTGATTTGGTATAGCTCCTTGGATAAGGTAAGAGTGAAAATTTCTCAATAAAGTTAATTGAGATCGACCAAAGTCATTGACTCATTTTCAACAATTTCTCCACGTGGAATATGTTTTTAATGTCATATCACATTTCATAATCTGGACTTGTCACCTCACAATTCTGGTAACTTCTCATTCTCAAACATAAATACATTATTTATTTTTTTTTAATAATAAAATGTTTTTAACATAAATATCTTTTGTTTTGGATCATAATTCAACATTTGAAGAGCATAAATAAGGCTTTGCTATAAAAAAAAAATTATATAATTTAAGCCCCAATTCATTACCAACAATTTCTTTAACTAAATTTTAAAAAAGAAAAAAAAAACTGCATAAGTACAATTCTAAAAAGATAATAATAATAAAGAAGAATACTGTCAAACCAAACGTACCCTTTAAGCATTCATTGAATTTAGAACCATTTCTAAAAAAAAAAAAAGAGAGAGAGAGAGAGAGAGATAAAAAAGATTCTCTTTTGCGAAAGAATTTTGAAATTGTGAGAGAAATGGAAACTTTAGACCATTGAAAAAGAAAAAAGAAAGAAAGAAAATACCAAACAAGCCCCAACAAAAATAAGAGAAGGCGTGCACAAGAGGCTATTATTTTTTCTAAGCAAGAGTCAAAATTTGATTCTCTAAGTTTTTATCTATAATTTTTAGCATTATGTCTAATAAATATCTCCACCATACAAAAAGTTTAATAAGTTCAATAGATCTCTAAAGGTTGAAGCACTATTTTAATCCATCTACAAACTTAAGTTTATTTTGATCATGTACTTTTAAAATATTCATTTTGGTCTATGTATTCTCAATTTTAGTTCATTTTAATTCCTGTACTGTTTTGATCTTTATACTTTTAAAAAGTGACTATTTTGGTTTTTTAATTTTATTTTTAATCTCATTTTTCTCTATCACAATTTCAATACAACACTACTCCTAATATATTTCTTGAAATGTACACATAATTTTATATTAAAATATTTTTGTTTTATGTAAAATTCGTGTTAAAATTTCGAAAATAACGACCAAAATAATCACATAGACCAAAACAAATATTTTAAAAGTACAACTAAAATAAATCACAGTTGAAAATACATGGATCAAAATAACATTTTAACAATTTCTAAACTTAGTATTCAATTATGTGCTAATAGAATCCTATGAAAGTTGTTGAGTAGATCTTTCAACTTTCAATTCTATGTCTAATAAGTTAGACATTTTATTTAAAAAAATATAAATAAATGACCTATTAGACACTCCAAAATTTAAAATTTAAAGACACACGTTTAAAAATTTAGTGACACTCTAAAAATCCAGAGATAAAAATTGTAACTCTAACCTACCAAAAACTAGGAAGTTTAAAGAGATTTATTGGCTCCACAGCCAGGGCCAGAGCCACAGCCTTGGGCGTGCAAAAGCTTTCAGAATAGACCAGAACTTGAAGTTGCAGTGTAGAAAAGGCTGCAAGAATGTAAGCAGAGAGGAAGAGTTCTGAACATTCCCATAAATAAAAAGTGATAACAGAATAGAACACAACTTGAAGTTGCAGTTGCAAAAGAAGGCCCTGTTCTGTGTTCTGTTTCCACATTCTGTATAAAGCAATTCTAACAACTGCATCACCTGTCTCTCTCTTCTCTCTCTTCTCTAAATCAAACAAATACCCATCATGGCAAAAAGACAACCACAAAACAATCATCTAAAAATGGTAAGAGAGAGAGAGAGAGAGCTGCTGATATTTTGTGACATTGTATAAGATCAGTGATGAGTCCAGCAATATCTCACTGCACTTGAGGTACAAACCCAAAGAGTAATGTAAACCCACACCCATTAATCATACAGACCTACAGTTTCACACTTTCACCCCTCAAATTCAGTAAGACTCATCACAACTCACAAACTTGTTGGCAATTTTTTAGGGAAAAAAAAACTATGGATGGATCTTGCAAAACTATTGAGATGGTGACCGCTTGGGAGTTTTTACGTTAAGCACTGTCCATTTGGATGTTGCTGCTTGTCGAGTTCCTTGGATTGGCGCTGAAAGGGCTTCCAGAGAAACTGTTTTGAGTCTGGCCAGCTCCGAACGTGAACTCGTGGGAAGGTACGTCTACGGTAGGGCGGGAAAAGATCGATGTGGCACCGATGCTGTTGAATGGAGTTATGGGAACTGGGTCGCTGCTCTTTGGGAAGCCGAAGCTAAAAGAAGGCAGACCAACAGGAGGGAAAATTGGCAAGTTTGGGATGCAATTTTCTGTTGATCCAAAGACCTTCTGTTCATACTCTTGCAACTGCTGATACACGGCTATTTTTACCGGCAAGAAATGTCAAGTCAGAATACATTATTTGCGGATGAAAACATTCCCAAACAAACCACAACATATTAAAATACAAAAAGAATGTATCATCGAGGAGATTATACCAACCAATCGAACAAATTTGAATGAAACGGAGAGGAGAATTAATCAGTTCAAACAAGTTATTTGGCCAAAAGATGGATATGGCTTCCAAGAAAACCCCAAATGATGTGCGTATTCATTATTTCATGAACAAATCATATTATGAGATGAACAGACCTGAAGAAATGGCTATGTGGTTCATTTTCTTCCAACCCATTTGGTAAAAATGTATAGCAAATGAGCACTTTCAGCCTTAAGTAGAAAGTGTAAACGCATGCCTTAAGAATTGATGACAAAGCGATGTTATCTTATTTGAAAAGCAGACAAAGGAACTTCTGGATAATGCATGATATACATACCCTCAGTTAAGTCAACGGGTGGCCTCCGCTCTTTCACCCACTGGTAACTCTGAGCAAGTCTCCAACCCTTGCATTTCATCAAGAATGCTATTACAATAGCTGGAGACCTATGAGAAATAAGTTTAATCTATCAGAGAGGATAGTTAAACAGTTCCTGAACGGTACACTTCTCTCATATGACCATTTTTTGTTCTTTGATCCCATGTCCATTGCTTACGTAGACAATTGCAGAGACCCAGCTTTATCTATGACAGGGGGAGAGGATAACAAATGTGAATAACTCAAACCTGTTCTTTCCTGACATGCAATGCACCAGAACACGAGCCTTGTCCCTTTCGCATTGCTCTGCAAATCATAAGCAACATCGAGCAGGTTACACTTCTGCACTCAGTGAATGACAGAAATCTTCTAATATCAAGTTCTTAACTAAAAGCAAATTTGTTCATTGGATGAGCAATATCACATTACATTAAAGTAATAACCTATAATCCAGCTATTAGAAGACTATTTTCAGCATCCACCTTTCCATACAAAAAACCACAACTGGACAAAACCATTGCAAGACATGGACTAACCTAAAAAATGAATTAGCAAATTTTCATTTTAGAGAAGATATAGAAAAGGCACCTAGAAATTCGACTGCGTCATCAAAAGGTAAGGTCTTATCATATTGGAGGCAGTGATAAGTGAAGGAGTTCTTGTAGAGATTTTGACAAGCAGGCACAGTCTGCAAACATAGAGAGGGGAAAACCGAATGTCAGACATATACTTCCACAGCACCTAATACATTTCAATGCAAGTGATATCGATGTATAATACTTAATAGTTCGTATAAGTAATGAGCCAGACTTCCACGAAATAAGAAAGCAATAACCGTGGGAGTGGCACTTGATATATATTCTCCATTTGAGGTCTAGTAAAGAAAAGCAATCCTATTTCAACAAATTGACATGTATAGAAAAGCTTCTTCATCATGGAGTTGAGATTTATTCAACGCAAAAGATTGCTACATCAATCGAAAAAAACCTATGCCCATCAAAGAATTTTCAACAGGAACTGTACCACCATAAACAAAAATAAACTACACAATGAAGCTAAAACAATTAGAAAAAAATGAAGCAGACAACAGTCCTGCAAAAATGTTTTACTTCAATGGTCAACTGCCCCATAAGATCCAAATGAGAAATTCAGTTAGAAAAGAACAAGAACAAGCAATCCGAAGGCCGATTGTCGCTCCCAAACCCCCAAACTCGGCAGAGTTTACTTGATAAATATATGTCCGCAGTTTTAGTTGAATAGATATTAAACATCCAGATTACAGAACAATCCAAAACGCTTAAATCTTTCAACTGGAAAGGGAGTTAAAGTAGTAGCGAACTACTAAGTCTGGATCAATTATAGTTTCATGATTCAAAAAGGGGGGCAAAAATCTGAAGAGACAGAGAAGGAAGAAATAAGCATACGTTAAGAACGCGGGAGATTCCCTGAGTCTTCAAAAGTTCAGAGCGTGAAGCGTTATCATAGCTTCCCAAATAAAGAAATTCTGGCAGGATCTCAGAAGGAAACGCGCTGACTTGCAACGACGTTTTCTCGGATGTAGCGGGAACCCGATGACCACAAATCCCACAGACTTCCCCTTCTTCGTATTTGTGATAGTGTCCACAAACCCCACAAGGGTTCTCTCTTTCCCTCTTCCTCATAGCCTAGGGCCGCGATTGAGCTCTGACCCAGATGAGAAAAACCTTCCAAATCACCAAAAAAGAGACACACACGGGCGATGAAACAGAAAGCCCCCAACCCAGAACACAATCACAATCGGACAAAAATCCCAAACCAATTCCCAGCGAAATAGAGACAAAATAAAGCGGCTCAGTGATGGGTTATGTGGGTAAAAAAAGAAAAGGGAAAAAGAGAAAGCGGTTGCGCAGGCAGAGCAGAGAGAGGCGCCGATTGCAGAAGGGCGTTACCGGGAAGCTTCTTGCGTGAGAGAAATTGGGTATCTGGCTCTGGTGGATGCCTGTGTTTTTCTGGCTCTGACACCGCGGTTCTTGCAACCAAAAGCCATAGTCCGAAGGGGGGATTAACAGCTACAGCTAGTATATATAAATCGCCAGATGCAGAACACTTATGACATCACAAAACGCAGGGTTTCTTCAAAGATTCCCCCAGATGGGTTGGACATGTGATAACTGATAACTCCATAAAATTAAAAACAAACCCTTTTTTTCTTCACTGCTCATAATCTTAATAAAAACATTATTCTTTCATGTTGATCTGATAGATAATAATACGGATTAACCGAAGCTTGGATTTGCGTAATTGGAAGGAAAAAAATCGTCTTTTTGGCTAATCTTTTCCTTGCAATAGCGGTGAGGTTTATCCAACTTTTACGTGTGATGAGTTACCAATCATGTTGTTCCACGTCGATGGGCCCCGCTGTAGTGATGATTATTATTATTATTTTTTTGAAACGTCATTTATACGCCTGTGGTGATTGTTCTTTCTAGGCTGTTCATTTGTGTCAATTTTGGAAGCTTCATAGTTTAAATAAATATTCCATTTATTTGAACCCAAAAGGAAAAAAAAAAAGACGTCTGAGATTCATCTAAAAGTTGGGGAATCTGAAGAGCAACTGTTGGATGAACTTCCGGCCAAGAGAATTAGATAGAAAAAAGTTACTTATCCAAGTTCGAGATTTATGTCATTCTCATTTCATTTTCCCGTCTGTCATTCTCATTTCATTTTCCCGTCGCAACGGTCCCGCTAGGACCGTCCTAAATAGGATGAAGAATCCCCATGAGGTGGCCTTAACAGGAACGGGGATGGAAAATGCATTTCCTATTTCCCGTTCACCATTCCTCACTCCATCACAATTTTTTTTAAATATATATTTATATATATACTAAGTAGAAAAATACAAATTTTTTCCATTACCTAAATGGTAATCTGGATGTGTGTGAGAAATGATTAAACCAGGTAAATGAAGTTTTATCCTGAAAAATTAAGCAATCAATAAGAAAATTATTTTTAAAAAATTATTTAATTGAGAAATAGTTTTAAAAATTAAAAAAATAAATGAGAAAAAATTATCCATGAAACCCGATCCTGCGAATCCCCTGTGAGGAATCTCTTCCCTGATCAATTTCACAAGAATGGAGAATTAAATAGGGGTCGGAAATGATTGGAAATCGATTTTTTTTTTAATTTGTTAAAAATTTTCGAGTAGAACCATTGTGATTTAAAAAACAATCGGATTTAATTCTGCAAAATGTCAGGGTATTTTCATATTCACACCTTCAAAAAGAGTTTTGAACTTAAATAAAAAAACTATCAATTTCCAATACCAAAAACTTTTTAAATTATTTTTGACCATTTCCCTTTCTTTTTACTTCTTAAGAAGCACTCCTCGAATAGTATATTCTTTACAACATAAAAGCTAACTAAAGGAAAAGTGATCCACATCATGAAAAGGAGTGGTTGGGGTTATGGAAGCTTTTACGTCAATCAAACTGCAAATGAAACCAAAATATCCAGATTCATTATTCATGTGCCTTCATTCAAGTTCAACAACATTATAAATTTGATTTCCAATCCTAAATGAGTCTCAAAACCTGTAATATTCCAAGTCGAAAATTTGATAGAAATGACGCGACCTCATAAAAACAGGAAAGTACATTACTCACTCTCTTTGGTTCTATTCTGTGGTTGAACTGCATTTTGGGTCTCCCATCACTTTCATGATATGCAGTGTATTGGTACTGTACTCAACTAGCCAAACCTTCAGACTACCGAGGCCGAAACCGGGAATTTCCCTGTGTCTCCTGTAAGATGAGCAGATCACAAACCAAGTTGAGAATGAACACAGCGAAATTGTCGCTGGAAGGTTCGTGAATTATCGTCCCCCCGATCAATTTATTCCACCTAAAGAAGGTGGCAGGACCTCTGGAATTGAAGGACCCGACAGAGAATGAAGATATCTTAATTTAGATGGGGATAGAGAGTGGGACTGTGTGTACTTGGTTGTCTTGCAGGTGCAGTAATAAGCATGTGCTACGGTTCTGAGGTGCTTTAAGCTAATGGGGGAAATAAAGGAAGAGAGGTCCAGGCTAATAACATCAATTCTAAAGCAGAACCTCCAAGTGCCTTGTCTGGGTATACATTATTCATACTCTATCATTTCTAACTATGAGAATTCCACCTTAAATTGTCTGTTCCTTCTACTTGATCCAATCTCTGGTTTTCACCTGGTAACTGGGGTAGTTTATTCTAGAGACAGAAGGGAAGACACTGGTAGGTTATTATATTATGAACTATCAAGAGTGTAAGTCAGTAATTTCGGCTCAGTTTCTGGCTAAGACCGACTTATTGTTCAAGAAAAACTAAAAAGACTGACACCAAAACCACTGCTGCATGACAAGAATTGATCACAACCAACAAAACCGACTATATCAGAACACGGTCTATTCAAGTTCAATCGGTCAAATAAAAGTTTGGACTTTGTACTATGTGAAACAAACTAACCAACATGTATAGCTTAAGCTGACTGAACCGAATCATGGACCTTTTTGGTTTTGGCTTCGGCTTGTATTCAAGCGTGAGTCACTGTGCCTATTAAGGGCCTAACACCAAAGAAACCAAGAATCAATTAACAGAGACATAATTACCTACACTCCAGTTTCTCTGCTTTGATGATAAATAATTACACTTTGTAACCTTGGATCCATAGCCTACATTAATACACTGACTTGAAACCTTCAGTGAGAGGAACCACTTTTGCTGTCACCTTCGACTGCAACTTTGATACTGCTTTACGGATGTCCTGCAATTCAAAAGGGCATTTACTCCTCTGTCATTTGCTGACATGTGAGATATTACTATCAGGACGCAGCAAAAATATTGAAAGCAATTATGGATTATCTTTCAACGATCCATTGATCTTTAAAGGTAGATGAGCAGGTTCCAACTTATGACTTCACCAAAGCTTAAGTGGTTTTGTTTTGATAGAGAGAAAACTGATTATCCAGCAAATCACTTAAGTATATAACGTCTAGCATGGCGAGCTGCCAGAATGCCTAACAGAAGTTGCATACAAGAAATCCAGCACGAAGCCAAGGTTGTGAACTCATAATTAGAGACTCATAATCATGAACGCAAGCCAAAATGAATTTCATTCAAATAATTTTTACCTCTAAATGGTATCGGGATGAAAAATGAGTCAACAGAATCGCCTTATTTCGAATCCACTGAGCATTTTCAATAATCTGCAATTTTACGAAGTCATATAGAAGAAAATAATTGGTCCATATTGATGATTCAATCATAAGAAGACGATCCAAGAACAAAAGCTGAGCAGGATGACAAAATGGACAATTCATCACGTAAGAGACAACATGACAACCAATGTTTCAATACCTCAAATAAGTGAGTATGACCATGTTGCCGTGCATGTTCTATGCTGGCCCCTTCATCCAGAAAAGTTGCCTATTTTTAAAGAGGATTTCCCAGTAAGATGTAAATTTAATTGAATTTTAATAAGTGTAAAGCAAGGAAACAACGTCTATGCCAGCATTTGAAGACCATTGTGAAAGAAAAACATAATCATATTGTGAGAGGACTTGTAGTTAGGGCTACTATAGTCATTGGGGGTCGGGGGGAGTTAGTGAAGAGTGGGTAGTTAGGAATTTGCTGGGGATCATTGACAATATACAGAGGAAGAGGGTGGTAGGGAAGGATGGCAATTTTGTGGCTGTTTTCGGCCTGAGTTTCCCCAAGAGGGAGGGATCTCACTTGCTGCATTTTCTTGTTCTTCAAGTTCCAAATACAATATGCAACTTCTTTTCAATCAAATTGATAACTAAAAACAATTCTGGCCATGGAGGAGATGTACCTTGAAGCATGAAGTGAACAACAGGGTGGAGGCCAAAATTGAAGCTATTCAAAATACTTGGAGAGAAGAAATCAAAAGATCGAAGTCCTTACAACTATGGTCTAGGACTAGAAAATTCAGATGGTACTCAAAAAGGTAGAATAATGATATAGACCATTGTAATATGCCAATTGTATTGATTAAGGAAAGAGTAGCTCATAGACTTTTGAAAGGCCTGTGACTCTCCATACCACACTGAGCAACTAGCTAATTTTCCCTCCCATTTCTATATTTAATACATTACAAAAAAGGGCCCCACGTCTAAGTGTCTAGCAACACAGCAAAGAGCAGGGCTTCCCTGAGAATGTGGGAATCGGCAAAAGTAGGTTGTTGGGATCTTCCTTTGTGTAAAAAGGAAAAGGGAGAAACATTTAGCCCGTTGCTTAAAACATGCCTTGAGAACAAAGTAAGTTTTGGGGGAAGTAACAGTAGCCGTAGGACTTGCAGTAATGGGTATATTCATCATTGAGGGATGGCCTGTGAAGTGTGGGTTTGCCAGGAGTTCATTAGGGAATAGGGACCATTGGCTGTATATAGAGGAAGGTGGCAAGGGAAGTTAGGTGATTTTGTGCTTATTCGGGCTTAGGCTTGCTCAAGATGGATGCGTCTAGGTTCATTGAATTCCTTGAAATCATCTTATTACATTTTTCTTGTCCTTTTAAGTTTTTAGTACAATTTGCAATCTCGTTACTATTGGGTTTGTATCGTGTTGTTGCAACAAATAGTCAATGAGAAAAGCTGATAAAAACAGAACGAACACTTTGGACACTTTGGACACATGGTAGTTGCTGGAACAAGGCATTTTCTCAAAGGAAATTATTAAAGAATATTGATGACAATTTGATAAGAAGCTCTACTCCAAGAATAGCGAACAAGTTGAACCAAAGTTTCAGTCTATACCTCAGTTATAAGAACTTTTGCCCGCAAAGCATCAGCATTACGTGGATCAAGCATAAAATCTGTCGTTGTATCTCCTGTGAAGGCCACCTCCGGGGACAATATAGTGTCTGTAATCTAAAGCAAAAATTTCAAAATCAAACTAGTGCCAAATATATAAAGACTAAATAATGAAACCAAATATTTGTGCAAGACATGCCTCGACACCAGATTTCTTTAGCTTCTCAATCTGTTTCCCCTTAAGATGTATGTATTGCTTCTTCAATTTTTTTCTAACTGAATAAATGACATAACCCTGCATACAATTAATTAACCACACGTTATACTTATGTAATTAGTTGAGATAACCCTCCAAATAGATATATTATAAGTATTAAAAAAAAAGGCCAACAATATCAAACCTGAACCCAGCTCATAGTACTAAATTTTTTGAACGAGATGAAACGTTCTATCCTAAAAGTTGGTCATCAGTCACTAGTCATATACTGGCCTCAACAAAAGGACAGTTACTTCAAGAACGTGGTAATGGTAATGCAAACAGGCTCCCTCGCTAAAGCCAAAATATGCATGCAACGGGATTTGCTACAGGACTATTTTATCTAGAGATGACAATCAGCTATAAGAAATAACCTTCCTCAGATTAAACCACCATATAATTATTAATTTTCATACATGAGAAACCTGTCTCCTGAAAACAACTTCTGGTTTAACTACAAGAATTTTCAAACTAGATTGTCAGCATAACAGCATCTATCTGAAGACAGAACCCATGAACATTTTTCCTTTCCTGTAAATAAAAAGATAAGTAAATCTCGAGTACTCCAAAATCTTTAAGGTTTCCATCTGTACTTATAAAATGGATAAGGTGTCCTAATAGGTTAAAAAGGAGAGCTATCCTAAAATGTTTACTCCAAACAAACATTTTCCCCTCCAGTAAGAAAGAGAGAAACAGAGAGATCACATACCTGGCTCGGTATCACATGGTGAGTTTTAAATGCTCTGCAGACGAGATTATTTCGCATTTCATATGTTTCTCCTGGATTCAAATAAGTGACATTACTCTCACTTCCAACAAATGAAGATGCACACTTGAGTGGAAAGAAAGAACGAAGCTAAATAAGCAACATACCTACATCTAGTGCAACCAGATCCACGTCCAAGTCCACCTGGCCCATGGTCCTGTGAATATCAAGAAGTTTCTCCACATCTTCTCTAACACAAGGAGGAACAAATACTGTAGGAGGACTTAAACTATACAAACCACGACTAGCTACATACATTGGTAGCCCACCCTGAACCAGGAAAAGTTGAAACCAACATCACTAATTTAGATTGGGGAAGATTAATTGCATAACTAAGAAACAACCACCAAGAGTTCTTTTCAGTAGCCTAATGAGTTTAAGAAGTCAATTGTGAAACTGTTACACTGATTTTTTCATATTCGTATCGGCTGCTTGGCTGTTCCCTTTGTTACTATTCCTAGTATTTTATTTTTCTTTTTAAATGAAGAAACCAACTTTCATTGATATAATA